TGCATCTTGTTAGTATATGTAGTACCAATTAATTCTTACAAGCTATCCCAAACTGTGCAGTCTCACACCTGCACAGTCTTTGGAATCCCTCTCTTTCGGGTGTCGATTCGATTCATTTATGCATGTAACCCCCCGCTGGAAGCTTGTCAGGAGCCGCTCCTTGTCCATGCCTCTGTTCACCGGCGATCACTCCCCGCCCTCGTCAGCGCTCGAGATGTTATATGCCCACCAGTTTCCGTCTGGTTCGTCCTCGAACCACACCGTACTGGATGAGAGGCCCTGCTCTGATACCACTTGTAACGCTCAGCCGCTTCAAGAATCAATGACTATCCCCACATACTAACACGAGACTTTTCAGTGTACTTTTTTCCTTACTCGCACACTTCCCGGAAAAATTTCCCAGGAGGTCACCCATCCCAGAATTGCTCCAAGTCAAGCACGCTTAACTGTGGAGTTCTTCCGATCTGGGCTACCGAAAAGCAGATGCATCTTGTTAGTACAGGTAGTGCCAATTAATTCTTATAAGTTATCCCAAACTGTGCAGTCTCACACCTGCACAGGCTTTGGAATCCATCTCTTTTGGTGTCGATTCGATTCATTCATGCATGTAACCCACCGCTGGAAGCCTGTCAGGAGCCGCTCCTTGTCCATGCCTCTGTGCACCGGCGATCACTCCCCGCCCTCGTCAGCGCTCGAGATGTTATATGTTCTATGCTTTTTCTCTATTAAGAACATTCTCCTAACATAGTTTGTGAAGATATTTAAGTTCATTTTCACAACTACTCTTCCAACCATGAAAACCCTCTTTGAATGACCTAAAATACACTAATTATTCATGAAACTACTAAGGGTTTAGATCCCATTACCTTTGGAACTTCAAATAAGGTTGAGAGAGATGATTTTCAAGCTTCAAAGCCTTTTTCTATGACCACCCATGAAGAAATCTGAAAATGGGGGTTGCTTGGGTGAGTTCTTTTCTTCAAATCTCTTAAATCCAACTAAAGTCCATGAAGATGTGAGGAAAATGGAGAAGAATGGTGTTTGTTCAAGCTTCTCGAGTGATTGAGAGGAAGAGAAATGGTGAGGTAATGTGGAATCAAGTGAAATATTAATGGATGAGCATCCTTGGGATCAAGCTTTTGGAGAAGATATGTATTTTTAATTATTCCAAGTGTAGGATAAGTTGCCAAAAAATGAGTTTTCGTACTAATTTAGAATCGGAACCACTTTAGATGAGTTGTGGGGCGTTCCCTAAGATAGGGAAACCCTAAGAAATCAATATGGAACATTAAGAAATTGATGAAGGCATAAATTAAGTGAATAAACAAAGAGAGTGTTTAATGATTGTGATAGATTAGAGATATGCTAATTGTATTCACATTTTTGGAACTAGGTTGTGATCGTGGTTGTGAATTTCTGGACCCGAGATTTATTGAAGGACTTTGCTTGCGAGGTAAACTTTCGGTCCTTGGGGTTAATCCCCCGTTTGTTCCACCAAACTCCGAGGGAGGTTGGTAGTTTTATATGGTATGTGAAAATGATGATATATGGTGCATGTATATGTATGTACGTTTGTGTGCCATACAAGATGGTGTTTCCTTGTGTGTGAGGCATAAGACAGTGTTTCCTTATGCATAGTATGAGACGGTGTTTCCTCATACGGTATGTTGCAAGACGGTGTTTCCTTGCGTAATGCATACTGGTGGTATTCTTTGGCCAATAGGATTATATTATTGCACACTGCATTGTCATACATATTCTGATTCATGCATGGATTTTATACTGTGTTTATACCAGAAGTGAGCTTAGGGGTGGAGGAGCCCTCCAAGGGTCCTTAGCTTACTGAGGTAATTATATTATCTCACCCCGCGTTATGCGGATTACCATTTCAGGTACAGGAGTTGATGGTGCTGATGTATCGCGTAGCAAGAGGCCAGATGAGAGATACTACTTGACATGATTGTCAGGGTCTTACGGATATTTAGATTTGTACCTGACATACTTTATTTTGGGTTGTATGTGCCATGTATTTTTGAGAGCATAGGAGATGTCTATGCCATGTTGATAGTCTGTATATACTATTAGTGATGCATGTTAAGGTCTATGTTACTTATTTAATTGCATCTCTTTTGTTTATTTGATGTAATTGTATAAGTAACATCATGGACATTATTTTGAGACAGTATGATTATGAGATAGCCTAGGCCATGGATGGCTGGGCAATATGTTTTATCTATGCTGTGATATGCCTGAGTTATATTAAACTGTCAATTAGGTTGAAATTATCATAGTGGAAATTATCCCCAGAGGTCCAAAATACAGAGGAAATGCTGTCCGTTTTATTTTGGCCATGGAAGTAAAAAGGTTTTCAATACATAAGGAAAAAGAGAAAAAAAAATTATTCAGTTAGCTTTCGCATTAATTAAGTTGAGCATGCTGCGCTTACTATCATATGAATGTTAATTAACCGGCTGCAGATATGGTATCAGAGCAGGGCCTCTCTTCCAGTACGGTGTGGTTCGAGGACGAACCAGGTGGAAGCTGGTGGGCATGTAACATCCCGGGCGCTGACGAGGGCGGAGAGTGATCGTCGGTGCGAAAGGGCATGGTGCAAAAGGGCACAAACAAGGAGCGGCTCCTGACAGGCTTCCAGCGGGGGGTTACATGCATGAATGAATCGAATCGACACCCGAAAAAGAGGGATTCCAAAGACTGCACAGTTTGGGATAGCTTATAAAAATTAATTGGTACTACCTATACTAACAAGATGCATCTGCTTTTCGGTAGCCCGGAACGGAAGAACTCCATAGTTAAGCGTGCTTGACTTGGAGCAATTCTGGGATGGGTGACCTCCTGGGAAGTTTTTCGGGAAAATGTGCGAGTGAGGAAAAAGCACACTGAAAAGTCTCGTATTAGTATGTGGGAATAGTCGTTGATTCTTGAAGCGGTCGGGCGTTACAAACTCAAATTTCTCAATTCAAGTTCATGCAAGAAATGTTAAAGTCCATTCGCATGGAACTCAAATCAGAAAGTTTTATTATTCAAACATCAAGAATATGCATAACCAGTCAGATTATTTAATGAGTACTTATCATTTTCTTCAGAATTCTGGAAAGAAAATAAGCAATGCATATTAAAAGAAAATGTAACCAAGAAAATCACAATGAAAAGAAACATGTTCATTGCTCTATAAAATTGGAAACGTGTAAAAATAAACTTGTAAAATTGAAAAAATTAAAACTAAAACTAACTCCTAGACTTCAGCCAAAAATTTCTATTTAACACGTTGAAAGCATAGAATCCCTTCTAACTTGTTGTCCATCCAATTCTGATTTCCATCCAACGGTCCACAACTCGCCACATCAGCTCCTCTCTTATAATCCTGTGGTTAAATGGCAAAAGAATTTATCAGATTATTTACAAAATTGCCATTGTCAGCCCAAATTTCATAGTGGACCTTTTTTACACAATTTTTGGGCCTTTTTACCTGCATTTTAGTCTATTCAGCTCAATCATAATATAAAATAAATTGCTAAGTTAGGTGAAAATGACAACCAACATGTAGGAGATAAAATTATCTCTTATAATATGAGAAACAATAATCTCATAGTGAAATGGTAATGGATTGATGACAATGTGAACAATAAAAGGTAAAATATATAGTGCATCAGATTTTTGTGTGATTGCAAAATCCCTTTGAGGTTAAAAGGAAAAATTAATAGAACAATAGTAAAGTTTGCAATTTTATATGCAACTTAATGTGTGACAATACATAGGTAACATGATAATAAAATGAAAGTACCAGAAAAAAAAGATATTAAGATGAATATGTGGTCATATAAAAATAAATAAGTTGATAAGAAACAAATATATTCGATGAAATTTGTATGTTGTGTCGATGACTAAAAAATTAAAGAAAATTGGTTGAGATAGTTTGGGCATATTATTTGAAGACCCCTAGATCCTCTTGTAAATAGAAGTTTGTTAATAACTACGTGAACCCAAAAAAGAAAGTGATTGATCAAAACTTACTTGAAAGAAACTAATAAATTATATTTAATGGAGTGAAAATTAGATTTACAGATAATATGTCTTAAGACGGAGTGGATGAAGGTTATACGGAGGGATAGAACCATTTTTTCCTATACTAGTAGACAACCCTTTTTAAACCCTAAATATTTATATATTTTTCTATCTTCATCTCTAAATTTATTTTTTTTTATTTTTTTTGTAAGTGATCAAACATTAAGGTGTAAAGGGAAAAGCATCAAAATTTTAATTGTAATTTTGATGCACCTAAAAAAAAATTATGCTATATCCAATGATATTTTGTCACATTAAACTTTCTAAATGATTTAATTATCAAGCATTTTAAATAGTCTGATAACACTTATTATTTTAATTTTTTTGAACGAATAACATCATTATTAATTTCAAATTTTTTTATTCGTTTCTTTGATTATCAATTAGTTAATTATTCTTTTAACAGCATTTATTGTTGTGTTAATATTTATCTTTAGAAGAAAAAAAAAACTTTCCTTAATCACGCAATAAACGATGTTAACTAATAAATAATTTATGGGTAAGCAAAAGAAGGTGAAGTGTATAATTTAAGTTGTTGAGGAACTATTTCCCGGTTTACAAATAAAAAACATTAATTGTTACACTGTGATTCAGCTAGTCACGGAAAGTTATTATCATTGTCACTTGTCACACAGTTACCACAGGCCTATATATGTAGTTATGTACAATTGTTTTGCCTTGTGCAGAAACCATTCTATTATTTTCTTTCAAATTCCATCCAATCCGTGACGCATAAAGGCTAAAGCCAAAGAACAGGGTTAATTAAGGTGAGATACTATATTACTCAGATATATCACCGCTTTAATACTTAAATTACTAATATATATCTATAGACACTATAATGCATTAAAAATGAATCAAAGGTTTTGTTTTTTTTCTGTCTACAGATTGAAACTTTAACATGGGAGAAGAGCAGAATTTAGAAATTGAGAGAGAAGATACAGAAGATAAGCTGCCAGATACTGAATGGGAAGTAGGGTCTATGAGAATCCAATCATGGACAGATCAAATAACTGTGAGAGGATTGGTGGTGAGCATAGTGATTGGAATCATGTACAGCATAATAGCCATGAAGCTCAACCTCACAGCTGGAATTGTTCCTAACTTCAATGTCTCTGCTGCTCTTCTAGCTTTTTTATTTGTGCGAAGCTGGACCAAAGTGCTCCACAAGGCTGGTTTTGTATCCAAACCCTTCACTCGCCAAGAAAACACTATCATTCAAACTTGTGCTGTTTCGTGTTATAGCATTGCTGTTCATGGTTAGAGTCTAATTTAATAGTTTTGAAACCATCAGGTGATTCATATAAATGAATTTCATGTTTTAAATTGTTGTTTTTGATATTGCAGGAGGATTTGCTTCTTATCTTTTGGGATTAAACAGGAAGACTTATGAGTTGTCTGGAATTGGTGCTGAGGGTAACAATCCAAGTACTGTTAGAGAGCCTGGTTTTGCTTGGATGACTGGCTTCCTTTTTGTGGTTTGCTTTGTTGGCCTCTTTGTCTTGATTCCACTCAGAAAGGTAGTCATTTTATGATCTGTTGTATTTTAGGCCTTAAGTATCTCATCTACCTCTCAAATCCTATCCATATCCTTTTTGTGCAATGTGGAGGTCTGTGTTGCATAACTTTCATATGAGGACTTCTACTAGTTAACTAGTTACATGAGATTATCAACGAGTTAGTTTCAAGTGATACATACTTTATTCAACTTAAATAATGTTTTGAGTTCAAGTTTTTGTGAATACAAAAAATCTCCTTTGGGAGAGTTAGCCTTACCATGATATGGATATTTCCAATTCGAACAACATTGCATGTTCATTGATTACCTAACTAGTACTGTCAGATCTATTATAAGTAACGACTCTCAAACAATTTTCTTGGGACTCGAACTCAAAACCTTTAGTCAAGGGGAATTGAATATAGTATTTCTACTTAGTCTCCGTCACACTGGTCAATCAGTTCAAGAGTCCATCCCTAAAAGAAATCAAATAGTTTATGTTTGAAATTTGCATGACAAAATGGTTGGAAATTTGCCCACTTTTATAGTCCTTCTCTGGTCTCAAGAAAAAACCAGGCACTAAGCGTGGAAAACAGAACAGTAATTATCAAAGAAAGTTTAGTTAGTATGTGTTATTGCGGAAACTCAAATAACTCATCGGCATACTAATATTAACCTGCACCTTCTTCTTGAACAGATCATGATAGTTGACCTCAAATTGGCGTATCCTAGTGGCTTGGCTACAGCAGTTCTCATCAATGGTTTCCATACACAGGGAGACAAAATGGCCAAGTACACATCTCATTTAGTCATCACATTCTCAATTTCTTCTTGTCCCATTCCATAATAATATGAAAACCACATAATAACCATTTGTCAACCAAATTAAAGAAACTAACTCATTATTATTATTATTTTTTCCAAACCTATTTAATTTGGTTTGAGTCTTATTGGACCCATATCGGGGTTTAGGAGTGTAAATGGGCGGGCAGGTGAACTAGATTTTGATCTAAATAGATCAGGTTATGCAATTGGAACATTATAGGATTGTCCAAACCAATATTTAAAAATCAAAATATCTCATATAGTCTGTTTAAGTTTATGGCCTGTTTTTCAAACAATTTTTTTGAAGCCCAAGCCTATTTTATTTAATTAAATATATTAGGTCAGACTTAATTTAACTTAGGTCGGAGTGTAGACCCCTTATAGGCATAAGATGATTCTCTTAACATTATTTTCTTCGGAACACTGACCAATATGTCACTCTTATGAATATTATTTATCGATATGTCACGTTCCAATCAAATTTTGCCAAAATGTCATATCACATTCTTGCTACGCCATTCAGTGAGAATGGACTGCACACGTGACAGCGTCTGTACGGGCAGTCATTCTCGCTGAGCAGCCCAAATAGAATGGCATGATGCTGACACGTGGCAAAAGTACATGCATTCTCTGAAAAAGCTGTTCATATGGCTAATCTGGCTGGGTTGCCCAGCTAGAATGCCTGTACTTTTCCCATGTGTCAACACCATGCCATTCTCATTGGGCTGCTCAGCGAAAATGGCTGTCCATGCAGACGCTGTCACGTGTCCAGTCCATTCTCGCTGGGCGGCATAATGAGAATGTGACGTAGCATTTTGGCAAAATTTGATTGAAAGTTCACATAGGATTTTTTTTGTCACAAGTGTGTCGTTATAGTCAATGTCCCTGGGAGCATTAATAATTATCTTTTGTTGCAGGAAGCAAGTGCGCGGGTTCCTGAAGTATTTCTCTATCAGTTTCTTATGGGGTTTATTCAAGTGGTTCTTCTCAGGGACACATAACTGCGGATTCGCACAGTTCCCTACCTTTGGATTGCAAGCTTGGAAGCGAACGTATGTTTTTTCAGTAATATTGCTTCGTAGTTGATATATGCTTTTCCATTCAAGTTCCACCTGTTACTAATATTGTTGTTTGCATTTGCAGATTCTATTTCGATTTTAACATGACTTTCGTGGGAGCAGGGATGATTTGTTCCCACCTTGTGAATTTGTCTTTGCTCCTTGGAGCTGTTCTCTCTTTTGGAGTGATATGGCCGCTTATCGACACACGTAAAGGAGATTGGTTCCCTAACAATTTAGAAGAGAGTAACATGAAGGCTTTGTACGGTTACAAGGTCTTTCTATCAGTTGCTCTAATCTTAGGTGATGGCTTGTACAGCTTCATCAAGATTCTAGTTTCCTCAATTATTAATGTAGTTGAGAAAATTAAGAATCATAAAAAGGGTAAGACAAGTTCTCACTTTCTTACTAAATGCTTCCACCAATTCAATGCTTGTAAACAGAGAGATAGACAGAGAATATTTACTTAACCATCTCTTATGAAATCTACATCTTTATTAAAAGGGAAATTATTTGGTTATGTTACATAAAATCGATTATTCCTTCCTACAGACACATGAATATTTGTGTATCACTTTTTTATTTTTTGTTTTTTTAGAAAAATTGGTGGGACTCACTTGCATTGTAAATGTAGCATGATGCAAGTTTTTTCGTGTGACATAATATTTATAAATCCCTTATTAAAATTAGAAATAAGTGGGACTTAGTTAAGAAGTGGGTAAAGTCAATATAATTAGGTGGGTCACTTTTTTCTAACTTTAGTATTGAGTTTTCACTACTACAAGAGTACTAAAAAAAAATTCCACATTTCTTGACATGCTTGTTAAAAAAAATTACTAGGATGTTCTACTTCTAACAATGAGTTTATATTTTGGCTGCAGCAATTGCTCTTGATCAGCAAGGGAATCCCATTGGAGGCCTTAAACAAAAGGAAATCTTCCTCAAGGATAACATTCCCATGTGGATTGGAATTGGTGGATACATTATTTTCTCAGTCATTTCCATAATTGTAATCCCACTAATGTTTCCTCAGCTAAAATGGTTCTATGTTGTGGTTGCTTACATTTTTGCTCCATCTCTGGCATTCTGTAATTCATATGGAGCGGGTCTCACTGATATGAACATGGCACATAATTATGGGAAAGTTGCTCTTTTTGTGCTGGCAGCTTTAAGCGGAAGAGAAAATGGCATAGTGGCAGGACTTGTGGGTTGTGGTCTTGTTAAATCTGTAGTTTCAGTGTCTTGCATTCTGATGCAAGATTTCAAAACTGCATATTACACTAGCACCTCTCCCAAAGCAATGTTCATATGCCAAGTAATTGGCACTGCATTGGGATGTATAACAGCTCCCCTGAGTTTCTTCCTGTTCTACAAGGCATTTGATGTGGGAAACCCACATGGAGAATTCAAAGCTCCTTATGCATTAATATACAGGAACATGGCAATTTTAGGTGTTGAAGGTTTCTCAGCATTGCCCCATCATTGCTTGCAGCTTTGTTATGGGTTCTTTGCTTTTGCAGTTGGAGTGAACTTGGTGAGAGACTTTTGTCCCAAAAAAGTTGGGAAATGCATGCCATTACCAATGGTAGTGGCAATACCATTTCTGGTTGGTGCATACTTTGCAATTGATATGTGCTTGGGAAGTTTGATTGTTTATGTGTGGCACAAGCTTAACACAAAGAAGGCAGAAGCGATGGTTCCAGCAGCTGCCTCTGGATTAATTTGTGGGGAAGGACTATGGACTCTTCCTGCTTCAATTCTCGCTCTTGCAAAAATTAATCCTCCTATCTGCATGAATTTTCTTGCTTCCTAGAACTTGATCAAACACATAAAGTAATGAATGTCATAACCAGTTCAATGCTATAAGATTTAGCAGCCACAAGTGACCCATTAGGTATAGGAACATTGCATGGTTAGAATTATCCAATAGTTTTTGTAGAATACAATCAAGTGTACTTTCTTGTTTTGATTAAAAGGATCAAGGTATGATTCATATAGGTGCACTAAGCATGCCAACTTAATTTAAGTGATACTTCTCTTCAATGACAAGGGACTAAGGTTAATATAATTGGCTTAGTTCTTGCTGCATTAACAAAATATACATACAATAGTTTCAAAGCTTGTCCCATCGAGAGTTATGAGCAGGAAGTGTAAAGTATATAGAGGAAATACTAAATTTTCATGCTTTGAATGATTTTCAAGTTAGGGGTAGCAATTTCTTGAAATTGAAAATTATGTCTTCTACAAGTAAATCTAAAATAAGTATTCTAATTTCATATAATCCCATATATCGGAATCTAGATTATATAATTTAGGAACCAATGAATAATTATTGAACATGGTAGTATGTTTTGGGATTACATTTTGTGCCTTTTTTATTCTTGAGTTTTTCATTTTTCAGTGCATGATATTCATGAATTAAGACCAAACCTTGAGGCTTTTCTTTTTTTTATATTATATGAAAACCTTGAGGCTTTTGTTGAGAATAAGATGGTGAATCTATTGACGCTTGAATTACGATTTTTTTTCGTGTTTTACAAAGAGAGAAATTGGAAACCAAATTTGCGATGGGGTTCTTATTTATTTTTCGTTCTCACCATATATCCCGAATTGGTATTTAATTTCATGGCAATAGTTCGTTTTCATCATAAAGATGAAAGCCATCAATAAATTGCATTAAAATCAGATTTAGTTAAGTTTTACCCTATTTTCTTCTTGTTAGGGCTGTTTTTTTTTTTTTTTTTTGGGTAAGCTGAGGATAAATACCACAGCACAAAATTACATAACAGAAATTCGACGAGTTCTACAAGCAGAAGTTAAATCTGCATCATACAAAAGACCAATTCCAGAAGGAGGGGAATTAAAAATACAAAAATCAACAGAATTAACATTCGTTAAAGGAAAATTCGCCAGCCATTCTGCGCAACAGTTGCCTTCCCTTTAGGTGTGAGCCAGATGAACTCTCCAATCTTTTGCTAACCATGCCCATATTCGAGAAATCAAATGATTCACGCGTACTGCATCACCTTTACTGGTGAGTAAAGCAATTGCTAATTTTGAGTCACTTTTTACTATTAAATTTCTCCAACCATCTTTCCAAAGCTAACTCCAGCCCCTTCAAAATACCCCAAAGTTTTGCAGTAATAGCTCCACATCTACCAATCCTGTACGCAAACCCTTTTACCCACTGACCTGCTTCATTTCTTAGAACCCCTGCACACGCAGCCAAACCACAAATACCCTTAGCTGCTCCATCATTATTGAACTTTATCCAATTTTTTTTCTGGCGGAATCCAGCACACCAGAATATCCGAATGAGAAGAAAAGATTTGGACCAGTCGAAACTTTTGAAAGGCACCCAGAATTTCCTTCACCTTAACAAGCACTGTGTCAGCTTTGTATTGTTGAATATGAATTGAGTTTTGGTTGTCATGGACCCTTTCATTTCTCCAAATCCACGCAAGCCAACAAGTAGTGGCAAAAATTATACACCAAGGGATACTATCTCTGCCCATAGTGACCTGTGACATATTAAACTCTATCCAATCCCACAAATTGACAGAAAAAAATACATCTTGCATGCTCACAGGGACCAGATTTCTCCAAACATTATGCATATAACTACAATCTCTTAATAAATGAATACAAGTCTCATTAAACTCCCAACATATTGGGCAAGAAGCTGATCCCAAATTGAATGTGCTAAGATATTTTTTTGTTGGAAGCTTGTTGTGCAGCAATTTCCATAGAAAAAGTCTAATAACTTGAGGACCCTCCCACTTCCATACTTTCCTCCAAAGTGAGTCACAAGGCTGCTGTCCTTCTTTATCACCATTCAACAAACAATAAATGCCCTTGACAGACACTCTATTTACATCTTTTAGATTCCAATGCATATGATCCCTCCAATCATTTGGATTCGGCGGCATAATACTACCAATAAGAAGCAAAATCTCATTTGGAATCCACCTTGATAACTTAGTGACATCCCACTGACCTTGACTATCAAGATAATCTGAGACTTTCTTTCCCACTTCATCCCAAGGAATCGGACTAGAAGAAATATCCATTAATCCACCAGTGTTATGAATCCAAATATCTTTCCAAAAAAGAATACTACTACCATCACCAATTTCCCACACAAGGTACTTTTGTAACTTATTCCAAACCAGACAAATAAATTTCCATAATCTTGAATCACCATTCCTACTTTTAAAAATATAAGAACCTCTTCTCATTCCACCATATTTAGCATGCAGAAACCTAACCCAAAGATCTTCAGATTGATTGTAAACAGCCCAAGCAATTTTTTTAGTCCCAAACCTCCAGCTTCTTTTGGTTTTATAAGAGTTTCCCAACCAATAAGATGCATTTTCAATTCTTCTTGTTAGGGCTGTTTAGTATGATGTATAAAGTCTCAGAGTATGACTTTATACTATATGTTACGACATTTTTAGTTGTTTGGTATGTATAAGTTTATACAGCAGAATCCCTTAATACATTAAAATAACATAATTAAGTCTAAAGGGGTGAGATTATGGTAGATAAGAAATTGATGTATTAATATTAATGACCAGTGCAATTCTCAAAAATTAATATATTATTTTAATATTAATATATTAAAATAAAAATAAAAAATAATTTTTTAATATATTATTTTTTAAAATATCAATTTTTATAAACAATATTTTTATTTTATAAATATTGATATAATTTTTAGATACACTAATCAATAAATGTTTATAAAAATTAATATCATATGATATATTTGGAAGAATTATATAAATTCTTTATTAAAAGGTATTTTTATCAAAAATATTTATTTTTATCCCATCTACTATTATACAATGTGTTACCAAATACTAGATGATATTATCTTATATAATACATTATCTTATACAATGTCATGCCAAACGTTGCATAGTATTAAAATTTAATCAGATCTTATACAATCAAGCCTTATACTATCAGGTCTTATATTATCAGACATTATCCTATATTGTGCACCAAATATACCCTTAGATAAATAAAATAGGTATATTTAGTTAAGTTTCTATAGGTGGCGTAGCCATGTTCATGCCAGCAGGTGCCTTGAGACCTACTTGTTTTAATTTTTTTTACTTATTATATATAATTATATAATTAATTATAATTAACAAAGGTTAAAATTATAATTTGGCACCACTTTGAAAATCAAATACTCAATACAAAGTAACAACAAATCATCTAAATGCAAACAAACAATAAGAAATGTGTACAATATGGTTATTTTTGTGTTTCACCATTTTTGATTTTTTTATCTTGTATATTCATTTTTTTTTGCATTATTCTAATTAGTTATGTTATTTCTTCTTATTCCTATTATTTTAAAAAGAAAAACTTCTAAACTTAACCACAAAAATGATTAGTTGACCTATTTCAAATTTGGGCCTAATTAAATCAAATAAACTCTTTTAAAGTAACAATCATAAAATCAAATGAATAACAGGTTTAAAGTTATGTCAAGGATTAGCCAAGACAAGAAAGTTAAATTCCTATCATTTGGTTGATAGGCTAATTCGTCTTATCTTAATACTACTAATTTCAACAACAAGTGGTGAACATGCGTTCTCAAATTCTCAGTAATGAAAATTGTGAAAATAAGGCTTCGAAACAAAATGGACGATGACTTTAAGATTGTGTATATTGAAAGAGAGATTGCTAAAACTTTTACTACAGATTCTATCCTTTAAGATTTCGTCAGTTTAAAAGAGCGTCGTTTACAATTTTAGGTATGTAATTTTTTTGTTATATTTTAAATTGTTTTTTAAATGTTATTATACATATAATTATTATATTTGTGTGTTTTCATATTCTTAGAATAATGTTTGGTTCATTACTTATTATGTTGTGGGAGAAAAGTGAAATTCTTATGTTTGAAATGCTTACCGGAAAGGTTAGTGCCTTTTTATATGTTTGCTTTATATAATATAATCATTGGCAATTGTTTATTTAAATTTCCAATGTTATGTGACATTATTTAGTGCATAATTTAAATATATCTGCAAGAATTCATAGTAATTTTTTTTTCTGTTGTATAATTACGATAAATAATTTAATATGTCAAATTTTTTGGCACCATCTAAACTTTTGAACTGCTCCGCCACTAGTTTCTAATTGTGTCAAGGAGGGGTATGAGTAGAAAAAATATAAGGGTAAGTGATTCAAAAAACATAGGGGTGTAAGCTATGTAGCACTGATACTGACACGGGACACGTGACACGATACGACACGACACTTCGACACGTTAATTCTAAAAAATGTTAGATTTCGACACGTTAGGACACGTTTTGATATTAAATAATATTTTTATTTCATGTAGTATATATTAATTTAATATTCAATAATTTAGCAAAAAAATGTATCTAAACTTATAATATTCATAAATTTTGTAAAGAAACATAAAATATCCCAAATATTTATATTAAACTAAATAAAATGGTAATCGTAATCCAACGAATCTAATAGTTGGAACTAAAAACTCAACGCAACTTAACATTTGAACCTTTTTTTGAATTTCTATAATGCGTGTTGAAGTGTCGGGGAGTGTCGGTGTAAGAACCCGCACCGTTAATTAAGGTATTTAATTAATTAATTATGCGAGATTAGGAAATGATTCCATAATTGACTCTAATAATTATTATGAGGCTTTAATAATTATGGTAAGTGAGTAATAATGTTGAAAGTTGCTTTTCGGAAGAAAAGTGCAGATACCGATTCTGCTAGTCGGTATAAATGCGTACCGAAAAAGTATCCCGGAAAATTAATATAAGTGCATGATAATTACTAGAATAATATGTAGGACTTGTAAAAC